CGTAGGGGGACCTACCGACCGAATATCCTGGTTCTTGAACAAGATTGTTAACCAGCTACTGGACAAAGTCCCGTCTCATTTGACCAATACGAATCATTTCTTGGAACGCCTCCATAACACCACTTTGCAAGCGCAATGTGTGGCAGAGTCTTTTGATGTCGTGTCCTTGTACACGAATGTTCAAAACGACGATGCTCTGCAGGCAGTTTCGGAAATGTTGGACAACTTTGGTGAAAAGATCCAGACTTTCGGGCTGAGTAAAAGATCGGTTATGCTCCTGATCAAAGAATGTCTCTCTTGTAACATCTTTAGATGGTCAGGAACATACTATACTCAGCTAAGAGGTCTTGCAATGGGACAAAGACTAGCTCCAGTTCTGGCGGTTTGCTTCATGAGTAGAATAGAAGAACCAGTGCTGTCACGAATGCCTCTTATGTACTGCCGTTACATTGATGACTGTTGCATCATAACATCAACACAATCCGAAATGGATGAGTGTTTTCGATTACTTAATCAACAGTCACAATACATAAAGTTCACGCGTCAGCAACCGAGAAGTGGTTGGCTCCCCTACTTAAACGTACAGATCAAACTGTTCAACGGCGCTGCGAGTGTAAAATGGTATCGTAAGGAGACTTCCAAGAACATCTTGATTAATGCTCGTTCTGCACATCCGATCGCTGTTAAAAGAGCTGTTATTCATAACATGCTCAAAACAGCAACGAACGTATGCACAGGAGAAGAAGAACGGAAGGAATCTCAAAGATGGGCGCTGGACATTGCTCGAATGAATGGTTACGCGCACCAAAAAGGACGCGGTGGACCATCCATTTCTATTCAAAGCAACCAGCACCAACAGAAAATACCTCTTTGCCTTCCTTTCGTTTCTGACGCAACTAGTGCTGCAGTGCGACGATGCATTAACCGTGCAAACTTGAAAGACGATATCATTTTAGTTGATATTCCAAGTGACAACATCAGGAAGCGGCTAGTGCGTAACAGACTATATGACAACTACTGCAGAATCCAAGACTGTGTAGTTTGTCCATCCGGTAAAGTTGGCGATTGTGGTAAGACCGGTGTAATCTATGAGATTACATGCATCGAATGCAAAGCCACTTATATCGGAGAGACTGGAAGGCCTCTATGGGTAAGGATGAAAGAACATCTTGCCAGCAAAAGACGGGGAAGTCTTACCACACCACTCGGTAAACACAGAGTTGAATTTCATCGTGGTAAGGACTTCGAAATCAAATGTACTATACTGGCATGCGAGTACGATACTGCTAGCAGAAAAGCTCTCGAGGCATTCTGGATTTTCGCGAGAAACCCATGCATGAACAGCCGAAATGAGTGTCCATCAATCACGAATGACTTCATGCCCTTTATGGCATTATGTGAGTTGAAGAGTCCCACTAGTAAATAATGTCAATATAGTTTACACTGTATTCATTATTACTACTAGTGGCACGAAGGACGGCCGCATTTAACATCTGGGCGGCAGCGGCGGAGGAGGTTGGTTCGTCTTTCACGTACTTGCGTATTTTTGCTTGTAACACTTTGGGGGGTAGAGTCGAGGCTGGTCGGATTTGGAGGAGGTTTGTGGTGGGGTAGGACATAAAATCAAATCCCTTACCACTTTAGGCCTCTGAAGAAGACGGACACGTCGAAACGTCAGGCCGCCACTAACAATAAACATCTACTAACCTCGGTCGGCTTACTAACTTACTCACACATATACTAACAATGCCGAGGTTTACGAAAGAGGAAACCTGGAAGCTACTTACATACAAAGTTACAAAATGACGATATGTCGCCATTTAGGATCACCAGTTTATCTAAACAAGAATTAGCATCTTCTTATCACTCTAATCTCCGGCGTATAAGCCGCAATTACTTTCATCGCGCGCGAGCTAATGTGCGAAGACGGTCGCGATGCGCGAAGCCGCACAAGCAGTTAATTACTTCTTTTTTACCTCTAGCCTGACAATAACCTTCTGTTTCTCTTGCAAATGCAATGAATGCATCGTTGAAGTAAGCAGTATCACTGGAATCGAACAATAGCGCAGCTTCAACCTTACTAAACATCAAAGATACAAAAGAAAGCGCCGTAAGTTTTAATGTATCCTTGAAGAAAGAAAATACAACCACGTGAAATCGTCCGATTCACTGAAATGAGTAAGAAAACACTGAAGACGTGAACGTGCGCCGTGAAGAGCGGTCTATAGTGCGCCGATCTTCAGCTTTTTTTGATTAAGAACATTGGTGCTTTCGCGCGGTGGATGCGGCCTATATAAAGTGCGGCCTATAAGCCGGAAAATGGTAGTCAATGTTTTGGTACAGATAAATATACTGATATAGGCGCAAATAATTATTTGATTTAGCCAAGGTTTATCGTGCATAATCTTTGACCGAACCAGGTAGTAATTCAACTAAATACGACAGTCGAATTTTTTTTCAGATTTTGAATGATACGCGAAAGCCAATTATTCGATTGCCATAATTATGAGATGTTTTTTGAGAGACTGAAAACGGTTTTTTAATGGTATTCAGATTAATTTGTAATGTGATTCGAAAGTTGAGTAAAAATTTTTGCCTACAAAATCTGAGTAAACTGTAATTCAGTATCCAGAAACGTCGGATCTCAAATGTTAATTCAAATGCTGAAGTATAACTTCGGGCAGACTGACTGTTCATTGGTTACAAGTAAGACTATCTTGTTGAAAACTTCGAATTTTCTCTTTAAGCAAGGAATTGACCTCATTTAACTACCAAATGCAGGTAAACCTGAAGGCTATTGCCGTGAAGGTGCAAAAGCAGTGTTATTTGGCAGGCGAACGCGGCCTTACCTTCACAGTTGTACCTTGCGCCTCATGCGCTTTTGGGTTAGAAACCGACTTCGCGCTTCCCCTGAATATCTTGCTCTTTAGTGAGGCGCTTATCTGTATAAAATACCTCTTTATCAACTGCAGCTTGGCATTTGTCGCCCTCTGTTCGCATCCTCAAGGCCGTATGCATTAACATTCCTGTCGGAGAGGGGATCGCAGCTCCAGAAAAAAGCTTTATATCCTTCAGCTTTAGATATCTGGATTTTACGCTGTCTACCTACGCGTAAGTACTCCTACCATCTTTCACTAATGAACATCTTGAACGGGAGCAAGAAGCTGTACATGCCGCATTTTCCAGCTTGCTGTTTGATCCCTTGATGATCTTTGGCTGCCGACCGTCTTTAGAGTCTTTCTTCTTTTCTAGAAATAATATTAAGTTGAACCGAAAGTTCTGTCGTTTCATTTTCAAAATTTGTAACTTCGCGAGATTTCAACAGATTTGCTTGCTTATGATTTTATTAGAAAGATTAGGTCTTCCGCTTTCAATCGCTGTTTTGTGGAGCTTCTGTTTCACACTGAATGCGGAGATAAAAATGGAAAACTAAGACCATGTAAACTTTGACCATTTTGAGTTAGGTCACCAAAAATCTGGAATGCTACAGAAAAATCTAAAATCATATGTACATATGTTTTTTGGCCTACTCTTTGCAATTGTAAAAGTTTGTCCTGTTTGGACGTCTCTGTGAGAAGTTATGAATATCGAGTTACTATGGAAAACGCCAAAATTAATTGATTTGTCAATTTTCGCGAAAATCATAACTTCTCACAGAGACGTCCAAACAGCACAAAATCTTCACAATTGCAAAGAGTAGGCCAAAAAACATATGTACTGACGATTTCAAATTTTTTCCAATTTCCAGATTTTTGGTGACCTAACTCAAAATGGTCAAAGTTTACATGATCTTGGTTTTCCATTTTTATCTCTGCACCCTGTGTGAAATAGAAGCTCCACAAAACAGCGATTGAAAGCGGAATACCTAATCTTACTAAAAAAATTACAATCAAGCAAATCCCGTGAAATCTCGCGAAGTTACAAATTTTTGAAAATGAAACGACAGAACTTTTGGTTCAACCCAATAAAACATTCCAGAGTTGCGCTGTTTATCTAATTCAATAGTGCTGATCATGTTTCTAGTAAAAACATAGATGTTTCGCAGTTATGAAATTGGTGATGAACCACAGGTCGAAAGTTGGGGTTTATCGAAAAAATCATATTCCATAAACTCATTTGTTCTTATCAGCAACATGCTTAGCACGTTGAGTCAGATAAACAGTACAATTGAAGGTTTTCGTTAACTTTGAAGGAGAAAAAATGACTTTGAAAAAAGACGTCCGGCTGCGGAATCATCAGGGGATCAAACAAAAACTTGGAAAATGCGGCTACAGCTTCATGCTCCCATTCAAAATGTTTATAGTGAAGGATGGGGATGGTGGGAGTACTTACGGACAGGTAGACAGCGTGAAATCCAGATATCTGGAGCTTCAGTTTAGAAGCTTTCTTTTGAAGCTGTGCTCCCTTAGGGCCGCATGCACCAACATCTCCGCGGGGAGGGGATCGCAGCTTAAAAGAAAGCTTCATATCTGGAAGCTCCAAAACTCTGGATTTCACGTTGTGTACGTACCCGTAAGTATTCCTACTATCCTTCACTATGAACACATTGAACAGCAGCGAGAAGCTGTACAAGCCGCAGTTTCACCATTTGTATGATCCCTGATGATCCCCGTCGCTTTTCTTTGAAGTCATTTTTCTTTCTCCAAATTTAACGATAAGTTTCCAAAGTTGTGCAGATTATCTAACCCAACACTGCTTAATATGTTGCTGATAAGAACAAGTGATGTGTTGGAGTCATGAAATTTGCGATGAACCATGAGTCGAAAGTGGTGATTTACCGAAAAATTCGATTTTTCAAAATCTCATTTGTTCTCATCAGTGACATGCTTAGCACCGTTGTGTTAGATCTGAGCTACGATCCCCTCCCCAGCGGGGTTGTTAGTGCATGCGGCCCTTAGAATGCAGATTCTAAGATTGGAAGCTTGCCTTGGAACTACCCTATTTGGTATCCGTCTATCCATCTTTTATTTGTTTTTCAATGTCAGATCGATGAGACTCACCCGAAACCGCAGAGCTTTCCACAGCAAGCAAGAATATCAGTGTCCGAAAGCATTGTCTAGAAGGAAAGGTGCATCTTGTAATACATCGTTAATTCATCATCACCTGCTTGGTTGTTTCGTTCATGTACGTTTGTATGCACACTCTATCAGACATGACGGAAGCCGCAGATACGGCCCAGCAGGATCCTGCAAGTTTCAAAGTTCGCAGTGACCATTTGATCTTCATGAACAAAACATTTTGTTCCCACCAGAGTTGGCCTGATCTCGAATCAGAGCTATAGATCTACATCTCGGCACTTTTCTCGCGCATCGAAACTAAAAACGCACGGATAAGAAAGGTTTTATAAAGAAGTGATGGCCAAAACTAGGACCTTTCTGGGAGGTCATTGCTGTTAACAACGACCTCAGTAGTTTTTAGCTGAATGTCATCAAGTTTCTTTAGGTACTTAACATCCATCAAACGTGATTTGAACTGTTCCCGAGACATTTTCGGAACCTCTGCCTAAAAAAGCATCAGAAGTTTAATGGATTGGAAACTGTAAGAACTGTAACTGTATTGTAAGATTGCTTTTTTTCAAGAAATGATTTCACTGCAACTTCAGTTCATGAAAAAAACCATGCAAAATTGTTTTTCAGAATTTCGAGAGATCTTATATATAAAGCTGAATGTCTGTTTGTCTGTATGTCTGTCTGTCTGTCTGTCTGTCTGTATGTATGTATGTCTGTGTGTACGTATGTTCCGAATAGAAAATTCCATTTCTGAACCGATCCGGACCAAACTTGGCACACATACACTACGGGCCCCGGCGGGTGTCATAGGCTACTTTTCGTCATCGATCGATATCGATTTTATCGATTTTTATCGATTTTTTTGCTGAGTTCACCTACGGGGCTGGGAGTTGGCACAGGGGGGTAATCGGCATGGGGATTTCGAATACAATATTGGTTTTCAGGATTATCGATTACTTTTATCGATTTTATCGATTTTTTGCAAAGTTTGAGCACGGGGCTGGGAGTTGGCACAGGGGGGTAATCGAGCATGGGGATTCCGAATACAATATTGGTTTTCAGGATTATCGATTACTTTTATCGATTTTATCGATTTTTTTGCAAAGTTTGAGCTAGGGGGCTGGGAGTTGGCACAGGGGGGTAATCGAGCATGCTGATCATCCCCAAGGGGGGTGATCAGCATGCTCGAACACCCCTGTGCCAAATTCCAGCCCCCTAGCTCAAATTTTCAAAAAATCGATAACATCGATAAAAGTAATGGACGATCTTGAAAACTAATATTGTATTCGTAATCTGCATGCTCGACTACCCTCTGTGCAAACTCCCAGCCCCGCAGGTCAAACTTTGCAAAAAAATCGATAAAATCGATAAAAGTAATGGACGATCCTGAAAACTAATATTGTATTCGGAATCCTCATGCTCACTTCCCCCCTGTGCCAACTCCTAGCCCTGTAGGTGAACTCTGCCAAAAAATCGATAAAAATCGGTAAAATCGACATCGATCGATAACGAAAAGTGGACTGTGACACGCGCCGGGGCCCGAAGTGTATGTGCGCCAAGTTTGGTCCGGATACGGCGGAGCCGGGTAAGCCAGCTAGTACCTTATAAAACGGCTGGATTTTGTTAATGTACTCAACATACTCTTCTTCTGACATATGGTTAACATGCTCGGGGATAGGAAGGGCTTTGAACTCTTCTGAAAGTTGCTGACAGAATTTTCAACATATCATATTACCAAATTCGTCTGCTCATCAATGCACAAATAGTAAAAGCTGGACAACTGAGAAGCTGAATAGCTAACGCTATTTACCTACGGTCATGGTTTTGGAAGCTGCTGCCCAAAAACTTGCAAGAAGCATCAAGATCGTAGGTATCTGTAAAGTAGTTCAGAACATAGAAAATATGTAAATATGAGATGGTCATATAAAAAATAGCCCACTTACCATATTGCACATCTTCTCTGGCGAAATAAGGATAAGGACATGTAATCACACTATCAGCTGGTGCTCAAACTCTCTTTTTTTGAACGTATCTGTCGTTTTGTTGTTGCTAATAGGATTATCTTTTTACGAATTGATATCCTACTTACAACTTCAAGTAAAAAATCTATCAATGTTGAGAGATAAGCAAAAAGTCTTAATGTCGTAAAAATTGCTTCTTCAAAGCAAAGAGTTTATTCGAAACTAGACGAACCTTAGAACTGACTTTTACTTACCTTGAGCATGCGCATCAAATCGACTTTGGAAGTTCAGTAATTTGGGGAAACCCCAATCACCTTCGCTTTCATCGAAGCAACGAATTTCCAGTTGAAAATTCAAGACAGATTATCTACAAAACGTTGCGGCATGCAGTGTCTCCCTGTTTTCTTTCGCTTTTCAAAGAGTGTTGGGCATAGTAGAGCTTCTTTTCTTGCTCTTTAGTATTGGCTGTGGCTTTCGTTATAACTGATATTTGATCAAGTGAAAACGTGGAGCAAACTCAACAAACTTCGGTACGTTTTCTAAAAATCATAAGGAAAGCTAACAAGGGAACCGTGTCGAGTCGAAGTGGCCTTTCCAGATGAGACCCATACTGCTTTGAAGAGCATTAATCATGATTCTAACTCTGCCTTCCAAATCTGCCAAGCGCCTCTAGACGCCGAGTTATGCTCGTTTTTCAGGTCAAAAAACTAAACGCAAAACTGAAGCAAAATCGCCCAAATTTCCTCAATTAGTCCAGTTTCAAGTATCAGAGCTGTTTATGCAATGGATACATTTTATTTAATTTGCTAACACTTAACATTGCTTTACCCTGAGCGCTGGAAAGATTGTAACGATCAATTTTATCTAAATTCTGCATTCTTTTTCGTTCCGAAGAGCGGTCACAACTCGGCGTCTAGAGGTGCTTGGCAGATTTGGAAGGCAGATTTGGAATCACCGCTTAATACTCTTCAAAGCAGTATGGGTCTCATCTGGAAAAGCCACTTCGACTCTACACGGTTCCCTTGTAAGTTATTTTGTTTTTACTCTATTCCCACGCAATAAAATCAGAATGATGTAAGCTGCAAAATATAAAAATCCTCCTGAAATTAGCGCTAGACAAGGTAAGTTGGAGGAAGAAGTTGTGGGAGAAATAAATAGCTCGATATAGTGTATTAGGTTGGTGGATAATTTCTGTTACACTATTTTCCAGTTTTTTGGAAAGTTGTAGAAGCTTCCTGATCACAAATTGCGCGTCACGCCTAGAGCAGGTTTACTACAGGCGTGAATGATGCGAACTGCACGAGTCAACAGCAAGTTTACAACATTTCGAACTTCTAAATTTTCTCTATTTTTCTCTGCATCTACTTATGCTTTTCCTCTTTGCAATTTCAGAGTGTTCGGCATTGTTTTCTCCAAGGCTGCATTCAAGCGCATTTAGTCAAAACAAGGGGTGAAAAAGCGAACAAATAAAGCCTCCAAAGTATCAGAAAATTTTCTTTTTATGTGTGTCGCAGAGTCCGACAAAGGAAGTTCAAAGAAAATTTTTCCTATTTCTTTGAAATACGTTGGTCGTCAATGATGGCCAAGGCGCACACACTGAACCAACAGCTCAGTTAAAGCAATGTAGACGTGGACGTGTCCACTGTATCTGCTGAACACTACGGATTATGCTTTGTAGACCACCACTTCTTCCCGTCTCGAACTCTTAACCCGGAAGATTGCCAACCCATCGACAAAAATGGCCACAACCCAGAATTTTACCCATGAAGTGAGCTTTTCGTACACGGACCGCTAATGTGACAATGCTAGGTAGGCGTTCAAACTTTGCTCACATGCAGTAGATATTCATCTTTGGACAGCCTTTGCGATTTTTGAAGATTGAAATCGAAAGTAAAACAGTGATTATCCGCCAAGTAAAACCATTGTATGACTGTATTTCAGATATGTGAGGATGTCCGGTAATGACCATTCCTACCATTAATCGCAGCGGAGTAGATAAAGAAAATGTTAAATACACATCGTTCGATTTAAAACAAGCTTTAAAGAAGGCGTGCGAATGTTTGCAAAAAGTTTAATTTACATGAAGTTTGAATGCAAAGTCTGATCGAACTCAAAAATTAGAACTCCGTTCAGCACGTTTTTGCTAATCTCCAATCCATTCACGCATATACTGCTCACAAAATTCATATGTACGCTGCTGCAGTTTTTCCAAAACTAAAAATTGAAAGTGTTGGCAGAGCGTTGAAACTTTAGATCGTACTTTTAAATGTTCACAGTATAGATTTAATGTGAGAGCACCCCAGCACTGCATCTACTGAGCATGCCAATTTTTATTTATTCAACTTCTAACGGTGGAAAAACTACAGCAACCGTATTTGAACGCCTGATGTGGACAGTATACTGCGAGATCTGGATGTTCGCAGAAGAGTACAAGGATTGGTTTCGATTAATTAAATTTCTTCACATTTCGCTTTCAAACTTTATATAAATCAACTTCCTGTGTTTACTTAAGTGTCATCCTATAGAGCTTGCTTTCCCTTATCAATAACATATTTTCTAGAACTTTGTTTTCACCCCGCCGCAATCGCGCAAGGGACGGCCTTTAATTTCCGGGACAACCTGATAGTTTTCATTCAATGCAGTTTGGTGCATGCGCATAAGAACTAAGAAGGTGAAATTTTTTTAAGTGTAAATCAAAGAAAAGCTATGTATGCTCCAGGACGACACTCTTAGCACAGTCTTCCGATTACCATAACTGGAGCCGGAAAAAGAAACGCATATTAATGAAAAGGTTGATGAAAGGAAAATATAAAATGAAGAAGCATATCCTCTTATGTGGTGCATCAAGAGTATTCGTCAAAAATCAGATATCGAAACTGATTTAGTTAGGTGTTCTACCGCAGGAAGTGAGAAAAGACTACTCAGAATAAAAATTCAAGACAATCAAATTCAAAAGGACGGCAAGATCATTGTATGTGATGCTGAATGCTTTTTCAATGATGCATTTTGCTTGGAAGTTTTATTTGCAGATTTTTTCATGGCGCTGAAATGTTTAATAGGTTGCTTAAGGTTTACTTGCGATAGATAAAGCATTAAGCGATATCTTTTGTCCAATATGATGCAAAGTATGCCATCAGTTAATGAAAGGCAAATTGCATAAAAGAAGCCAATAGGCTAGCAAACCCAAATTAACAAAATGGATTGAAACTATGGAAAAAAGAGTTTCTGTTTCTCTGATAAGGGATCGTCACGGACTCGAAATGGTCGATCAGCATAAGATGCTTACCATTACACGGAGTTTGGAACGTTGTTTCCAAATCTGCCTTGCCTACCTGCAGAGCTTGGGAAGGAATTTTGAGCCTTTTGGAGGAGGACGCGGCTACTTTATTCAAATAGCGTTCTGCACCCCGTCAAACCGTGTAGGCATAACGCAGTAGCAAGTGTGCCGTGTACGAAGTAGCGGAGGTTTGACTCCGTGTTGAGGCAATTTCTTGCATTGTATGTCAACTACTAAAAATTGACCGAATGCTTTCAAAATGATGAAGCGAGGAAAATTACTTCACTTATCAGCTTTAGTCAAAAGAGGAGAAAGAAGAGCAAGAAAAATGAGTTATGCAAAAAGAGCTGTGTTCAGTGCTGAATCACAAAAAAAATCAGTGACATACATGATGTGCTAAAACAAAGTGATCAAAGCACAAGGCGTCTTTGCAGTTAGCGCATCGGTAGAAAGCTACATCAAAGCATTCTACGTCACACCCGATTGATTCAGGTGAAAAAAAACTGCAGTAGCGTTTCGAATTGTTTTGAGTATCGATCCAGGTAACCCGATTTTTACCAAGAGTATGCCAAAAGGTGTTTGAAAGAGGAGCACAGAACAGATGGTGAATGAGCGAGAGTGTGCGAAGTATGGATGGAGTCACGAGCACGCACAGAAAAGTCAAGACTAGCGTAATATGACTTATAAACCGCTTGTACATGGCCAGGGTCCAGGAAGAGCTGTGGCACACAGGCGCCGGATACGCCCCCCCCCAACTATCATCTGTCTCAATACCCTCCCCCCTCCCATCTTCTCTTCCCACGACATAAAGGCTCTACCACGCATAAACAGCACACATTTGTAAATATCATGTCAAATAACCACTATGGGTCAAGTTTTAGCAAATCCTGAAGATTCCCAATATTGGACCACCAAAGCGAAGTGAACATTTTTGAAGATGATGAACTATATTTCAAAGAATTAGCTAACATTTTTTTGCACTTAATACAAAGCACTAATCCCTGTTTTCCCATACCTTAAATCTTGCTTTTAATAACCATCAAACTATGCTATTAGAAGCAGGCCAAAATCTTGTTTGTCCCATTTTTCGCTTCCAATGACTGCGCTTTCACCAGCTTTTACTCAGAGCGAAGAAGATGAAGCAGGCCCAAATTACTCCTACGAAAACTACAAGACTAAGGCTATCAAACTATGTTACTTTGTTTGCTAAAATTTTTTGGAGGCAAATTAATGGGGTGTGGCACCACCCCCAAAAAGCTATGGCGGTCACAGCTTTTTATGGGGTTGTGTCACACCCCATTAACTTACCTTCAAAGCATTCAAATCTCTGTCTTTTTCATATGGTTGCTACTGCTAAACCTTCTTCTCCACATAGCAGCAATCTCAGTCATAATTGTTTCTCCTGGGGAAAGACATGGTCGTTTTTTCTTAGCTAAGCAAATGGAGAACACCGCGAAAAATATTGGATTACGGTAATATGCTAAGTCTGCGCTACTCTTGAATCGCGAAAGAGGACGGCAAGAACAAGTATATTCGATAGCCTGATCCTCGTAACTTTCTCAAAAGTGATGTGAGCCTGATTGGTCTTCTCCCAATTTGAGGTATCGAAGACAAAAATGGGACAAACGAGATTTTGGCTTGCTCTTAATTCCAGAATTTTAGTTGAAGTTGGATTTCTAATACGAGCAAAGAAGTAGTAGTACTTGTAGTGAGTGCA